GAGAAGGAGAGAGAGAGAAAAAAAGAAAACAAAGAAGGGATAAAATGAAAAGAGAGAAAAAGTAAAAACATTTTAATGTAACAAATATTGAAATAATAGTGCATATATGTGTTTCTGTTTGAATTAAATAATATTTAAGGGATTAAAAAAAAAATTGATTAATTAATATAAATGAATGGAATAAAAGAAAAAAGTTGAAAGGAATTTGCTTAGCAATGACTGTAAATCATAAGCATTGAATAAATTTTATAAATTATGAATTAATTTATTATTGTAAGTTTAAAGCTATTAAAATTAATTTTTCTTTTCTAAAGAAAGAAATATTAATAATATTTGTAAGTATGTACATCATAAAAAGACAGGAATAAATTTTGTTGATAAAAAAACTTCCTTTAAAAAATTTTTTTCAAACAACTGACAAATTTTTCAATAAATTTTTTAAATTTAATACAGTAAAGTTATACTCTGCAACCAATCCAATTTTGATTGATGTATTGATGAAATTTTTCTTTATTTTTATTTTAAAAGAATTGCAAAAATTAAAGTTTCTACTTCAATTAATTAATTATTTTTCTTATGGCTAACCTTTTTCCTCTTTGCTACTAATATTATTATCACATCAAATATTGTTATCATATCTAATACTGTTATCATATTTAAAATGATAATCATTTGTTTATAGTTTAATCAGATTAACAATTTTTCCAATTATTTTATTGTTGTTTTAAGGAAGTCTTTTCGATTAAAATTATGCCAGCAAATCGATGGTTTTTTAAGAAAATTTTGACTCGATCAAAATGGATCAATCATGCTTAACAAATAGTAATAAACAAAGAGCACTTTATTTATTCCTACTTTTTTTATGCTAAAAGCATAAAAATTATTTTCGTTAGTATTTAATATTTTTCAGACTTAATTTATTCAAAATTATCAACAAATGAAAATAGAATATCTTTTATAATGTTGAAACATTTGTACTTGGCTTTTGATAAATTTAATTGTTTCAAAATTCAAATGTAAGATTTAAGAAAAAAAGAAAAAAAAAACCACATCAGAAAATCATTAATTATAGAACAATTAATTATTTGACTTTTAATTGAAATTGTTAAACCTTTTAATGATGATGTAATAACGCATTACAATAAGTTTAGAAAAAGAAAGAACATTGAAAATATGGTTAAAAAGATGCAATTTTTTATGCAATTTGAAATTTTAAAGAGAAAGAAAAACTATCACAAAATGAAATTCTTAAAGGTGAATTTTTGATGAAAGTTGTGAATAGTTCATTCATTTTTAAATCATATATTAAGAATCGATTTCGTAAGCTTTCAAATTGATTTGAATAATTTCGTTGATAAATTCTAGATTAAATGATTTGTTCCGGTTATAAAATCATTGCTATAAAACATTCTTACATTGAAATTTTTAATCGAAATATTTAAATTGTGCAATTGAGAGCTTTAAATTACACACATTAGTAATGGAAATATGTAATATTGCAAGTTTACATTTATGTTTTTTTGACAAAAAAAAAGATATTTTATAATTCCAGCTAATTTTTTTTTAATTTAAATGGTATTTAAAGCTTTAAAACATCAATTATATATACTTTTTTTCCGCTTTCAAAATGAAAAATTTTTTGGAAAATGTGAAATTTAAAATTTTGAATGATGTTGAAATAAATGAAAAAATATGTCACAGATGTGTCAGTCGACCGTCTTTTTTCTTTTTCTTGCTTATATGAAAGAATGACTCATAATGAAAATAGCAGTGAAAAAGATAAAAAAAATTAAAGAGAGGAAAACTTTTTTGTTTTCTGCTTTGTTTTTTCTTTTTTGTTTATAACAATATTCTAAACATTGAAAGCATAAAAGCATAAATATGAGCGAAAAAAGAGAAATTTAGAAAAAAATTAATTTGAAACATTTAAAAAGAAGAAAAGGAAATAAAAGGAAATGGGAGAGAAAGAGAGAGGAAGAGAGGGAAGAATAAAAAGGAAAATTAATATGCAAAATATTTCAAATTATTCATTATTATAGAAAATTTTCATTCGTTTTCCTTTTTTTTGCTTTTTAAATTTTATCTCAAATGAAAAAAAATAAGAAAGAATGCTAAAATTTAGATGATTTTCGCTTATTTTTATTAATAAATTTGATGTGAATAAAAAATAAATTAATTAATTAGTAATAATTAAAAAATATATTTAAAAAATAAAAAATAGCGATTGGCGATTTTTCGACTTAAACCTAATTAATTAATTTAATTGTTAATGAAAGACCAAATTTACAAAGCTATCCACTTTGTTCTTTTATTCAATTTTGTTGAATTAGATAATTTTCAAATGGTTGGTGGATTCAAACGATATGAAAAGATCTTTTTCTTTTTTTTATTTTCATATCTGAATATGATTTTATCAATAAAGTATTATCCAAATAATTTTAATTTAATAATTAGGCTAAGCGAAAAATCGCCAGTCACTTCCTTTTTTTTAAATCCAATCACAATTATTATTATTTACAATCTTATAAATTCATCTAATTTTGATAAAAACAAAAAAGTTACAAAATTTTGTGCGAATTTCCTTCCAAATAGATTTCGAATATATTTTCACATCAAGCGTATTTCACTAATTATACGTTCTAAGTATTATCTGAGAAATTATTTCCATCAAATAAGTATTTATTGTGATTATTATAAAACTATTTACAGTTTTATTGATTTAATCTTTCAAAATCTATTCATTTTCATAATTATTCTTTATATTTATAATCTTATAAAATTTCTATCAAACTTTCATTTTTGCAAAACTGATTTAATTTGGTATTCAATTCCTTAAAATTGAGCTTTACAATTGATTAGATTATAGCTTTTTTACAGCCAATATGACATGATGATTTATTTTACTAAAAACAACGAAATAGAATTTGTTAGGAAGGAAACTTAAAAAAAAAACATTTTTTTAGATAATAAACAATTCTTTTTAAGTGAAAAGTAAAAATTTGGAAAAGTAAATTTGATTTTTTTAGACAACAAAAAAAAAACAATAAAACAAAGAAAGAAAATATCATTTGTTAGAATTTATAGAGTTTTTATCTGTAAGTAATAATCAGATTATTTGTGAAATGAAAATGAATCGTCGGGTATTATTCACGATAAAAGTATGTGAAAAACACGTTTATCTTAAATTTGTACGATACTTAGAATGGAAATTTTAAAAAAAATAAAATGGAAATTTTAGACAGGAAAAAAAAGAAAACAAATAATAAAATATAAAAGTTGCAAAAAAACTGGTAAAATTAAATCCAGATAAACAAAAAGTGTTTATTAAAACAAATTAAAACATTAACTCACCCAATTTTAATTAATTAATCAAATATTTAATTATTCATAGGAGAAAAGTTTCAACCAAATGATAACATTTGTTTTGGATGAAGGTTAAGTTTATATGGTTTATAAAAAATAATATGTTAATTTAATAATAATTGTTAAAAAATAATTTAATTTGTTCGATTGATTTTTTTTTTGCTGTAAAATAAATCTCTCAAATGTACTGAAATTAACAGAAAATGTGATTATATTACTAATAAAATAAGAAAAAGTGAGGAAGAAATGATTCGATGGATTAAACCATTTGGACATATTTCTAATAAAATATTTCTTTTGTTGATTTATCGTTCTAATTCAACAGAAAGGGATAATTTCTGGCAGATGACAAATATATTATTATTGTTGTCACCATCATTATCAATGATATCATTTGTAATTAATAACAGATGACCCATTTGGTTTTTTTCCTTTTTTCATTTTCGATCACCCATTTTGTTCAAAAACACGATTCAGTTCTTCTTTTTAAGAAAAAAAAATTTTGAGTCTTTAAATTTTATAATAAATTTATTTGTTTGAAATTTTTGAAACAAAAAAAAAAAAACTCGGTTTCATGAAGTTGATAAAAAGTGATAAAAATGATAGTGGTGAGAAAGTGAGACAACAAAATGATAAGAATAAAAAAATAGCAAATATATTATTGCTTTTATCAGTGATGATATTAGCTGACATCACTTCTGGGCATTATTTTTGAGTCGTTTTGTCATATTCTTTTTTCTTTTTTTTTCTCTTTTTTTAGCTTCTTTCTAATAACATTTAAAAATAAATGACAAAATAATAGTGATAATAATAATTTATATTAGTTAATAGTCCTATTAATTAATAGGAACTATTCAACAATTTATTTATTTATCAAAAAATCATTGAGGTTAGAAACTTTTAAAAATTCTAAAATTTCAAATGATAATAACAACAAAAATAAATTGTTTCAAAAATTTCGAATAAATTCAAATTTCAAAAGAAAGAATAGAAAAAGAACAAGTAAATGAATGAATATGCAAATACAGATTATATAGATAATAGTTTCAAATGAAGAATGAATGGACAAACAAATGTCGCATATTCCTGTTTAATGTCACCCATTTTTACTTCTATTTTTTCCATCTGTCTCATCAGTGGTTGACAAAAGAAGGAAATCGTTTAAAGATTTTGATTTGAAATGATAGCAATAAAATAAATGAGCCTTCAACAATCAAATGATATATTATTCTTCTCATTTCTTTTCTTCACTTATTTTATTTTAATCTTCGATTAATTCCTTACAATAAAATAAAGAACAAGAATTTTTCTTTTTTCTTTCGATTTATAAAATATAAATGGAAAATTAAAATATTTTCTTTATTTATTTAAATTACAACGACCGTAATTGATAAGTTTTATAATCAGTTTATTTGAACACGTATTATTATTTGAATAATTTTATTTGTATGATTAAATTTCCGTTATTGGAGATTTTTTTTTTTTTTGTGTTATTTACTATTTGTTTTGATCGTTTATTTATTTATTCATTTTTTTTAAGCATTTGCTTAGCGGGGCATATTGAGCACATTTAAGATCATTGTTTAAATTCCTTAAATAATGTTCAGTTTTTAAAAAAAATTTAATCTCAAATTTAATTAAATCTTAATAAAGATGAAAAGCAGGATGATATATGCGTAGTGAAATTCTTTTTTCTTCCTTTTCTGAATTATATTTAATTTAATTGTATTGCTGATTAAATTACTGCTCAAAATACATTAAACAATACTTCAACATAAATTATTTATAATTTATTTATTTATTCATATTATTTACAGCAAAATTTTATAACAATAATAATAATAATAATAATAATAATAATAATAATAATAATAATCAATATAAAATTACTATAACTATTACAGTTAGATTGATTACGACACAGACTATTCTGCTTGCCGGATTTAATTACATTTGAGAATGTAAGAAGCTATACGTACTAAACGTTCTTTGGTGGATATCCATGAACCAAATATGTTTTCTAATTTTTTTATTAAAATATCAACTGGCTCGTTATCGTTTATTTCGGACACATCTGATGTTATGGTCTTATCGGATACACTAATCCGTTTGCTATATGTTACCATTAAATCCAACAATGCACCATTTGTCCACCCATAACCTTCCTAACAAAAAAAAATTTTTTTTTTTGATTGTTTAAAATTCATTTTGAAATGAAAAAAAATGTCTTTTTAAAATTCATCATTTCATTTTTGTCGTTTAAAAACTGCTACCAAACAATGAAATAGCACAATAATAGAATGCCTTTTTTTTTCCTTTTTTTTGTTAATATTAAAAGTAATATAATAAATTTAATTATTTTTAGAAAAATTTAATCCTATTTTATGATACTTAATTGACACAACGATAAATATAAATTAAATGGAAGATTAAAAAATAATACTAATAGAGTCGAATGGAGAGAACAATTATTTGTTCCCTTTGTTTTATACAAATTTTTTTAATTTTTTACTTGTGTTTATATGAGTTTATTAAATGCATTTAAGAAATATTAAAAGAAACTCGTTTCCGTTTTTTATTTCTCGTCTAGAATTTTTCCATTTATTGTATACAACAATTTAATTAAGCAAATTTATTTTTTCCAACTTATTATTTTTAAAATATTTATATCTTATCATATTTTCATTTCAAATCTTTCAAAAATGTGAAAACAACAATGGTTTTTTTAATATGCATGGAAAGATATGATTTAATTATAATTAAGGAATGAAAAATTGTTTACCTCATTATCATCGTCATTTGCTGATCGTATGTGATCGTCGGCTACATCATATCGCTGCCATAATTTACGATCAGTTTGATAAACTTCATAATTTCAATTGATCCATCTACTTGCTAATTCAAATGCTTTTTGCTGCATACTAAAATTTATCATTCAAATTTCTGTATCAATTAATTTGATCTTTTGTATTATCATTAATATTTATCTCCAATTATTGAATTATTTCCAATTCAATTGTTTGTTGATAATTTAACTTCCAAGTAGTTATCAGTAGCATTTAATTATGATTATTAAGTTTTTGATAAAATAAAAATGCATCAATTTTTTTTTACAAATAAATGTTATCTTAATGCTTTTTTCCCCTTTCTTCCATTATTTTTAATTTCACGACCAGAGTTATTAAGGTATAAAGTAAAATATTAATTTATTAAGTCTTATTTCGATTTTGAGTAACAGCCGTTTGCATTTTATATCAAACCTTTAGTTGTATTAATATCAAACTATTCTACTGTTTGAATTAATTTTTTTTTGTTTGGTTTAATTGATTTTTTTTCTTTAGAATTAAATTTTCATTTTAGAATTTATGTCTTATAAAAGGTGAACAATTCATAATACTAATTTACATTGGATGATTTGATTTCCGTAAACCTTCGATAACCATATGATTGATTGGAGCAAAACCATTAGGATAATCCCATTGTTGTTTTGAACTACGAATTAAACTGTAATAATCAAAATGATAAATTACCAGCAGCTATCGCATTTCTTACTATCACTAATTAATCGTTCAATTAAATGCTCATCTTACTTATCATATAATTACTTGCCAAATTATTTTATAATTAACATCTTTTTGATGAATCAAATTACATAAATAATAATAAATTATACTGATTTAATCGTTATTTATTGCAAAGATCGAGTGACTTAAATATTAATTATTTGGTACTGAAATTATTGTACAGATAATAGATATAAATCTACTCTAATTATATACAATTAAAATAGATAAATAATAATAACCTTGCCGGTATACCACCAGGAAATTGTAATAATCCTTTACATTGTAAAGTCCCTAATACTTCAACCAACATTGGACTATTTAAACTACTATAACATTCGGTAAATAATGGAACGGCTATAGATGGATAGGTATCATCAACACGTTCACCGGTATTTAAATTAAAATCAAACCATGAACCTTCACGATCATCAAAAAATACCGCTTCAAATGTATCAACAAATTTTGCTCTTTCAATGTTTATTTCTGCCCGACGATTTGTATCACCTAAATATAGGAATTGGTAAAATGAAAATATTTGAGATTTTTAAAATGAAAGATTGAAATTTAAATAAAAAAAGATGATTAATTTTAATTTAGAATTTTTTCTTCCATTTCATTAATTTTTCATATATGAAACTGTGCAAAAAGAAATTATGAAGAATATTTTGATTTTTCTTGCTAAATACATTCATAATTAATCACTATAACTAATTGTAAATGTATTATTAATGAATTAACTAAGACTATTCGACTCTCTCATCCTATTGCTCTCTAATGTAAACAAATGAGAAAAAAAAAGATAATTAAAAATTTTTTTTTCGAATTTTCCCCTCATATTTAAAGTTAAAACAAAAAATGTTATAATAGAAATAATTTCTTTTCTTAATTTCAAGCAATATAAATATATAAGTAAATTTAATAAAAATCCGATGAAATTTCAAATTATCTAATTATTATTTACCAATTTCTCCGTGTAAATGTGCCAAAATTTCCATATTCCAACACATTAATGCATTTAAATCAACCGGTACAATATTTGATGTTTCAATTGTATCCATCGTTTTACTATTGCTAAGCCATCGACTGCTAAAATCCCAACCGGATTCGGCAGCACTGTTAATATCATTCCATATTTGCCGACGTCTAATTTCCGGAACATTATCAGCTGCAAAAAAGTCGCTACGATATTCTTCTGGACTACAAAAATGTGACAGAATTTTACTGTTGTAAATTATAAAATTAACTAGAATTAAAAAAGAAAAAAAGAAGTACCGAGAAAAAAAATTACTATATCGATCTGTTATGATTTTGAATTTTCATGATCACTAACCGTGGTGTATTGACAGGAGAAATATATTGAAATATTGTATAATTTTTATCATTTTTTGAAATTGTTTTTGTCCTATATTTTTTCTAAAATGCATATTCCTAAAATTCTATGTAGCTAATTTTTTAATTTTCATGTGCTTATATTTAATTCTAAATATGTACACACAATCATCATTTCGTCATATAATTATTTTTGATATTTAAATAATCATTCATTTAATAAATTATCAAATAATTTCTTACCATCTTATCTACTATATTTATTGTTATTACACTTTCTTTTAGTTGATTTTTCTTTTTTTCTTTGTTGCTATTAAATCATTTACAATCTTAATTAATTAACGGGAATTGATAACAATTATTAAATTTACGAATAACAATTATCACATATGATTGCATAACGACTTATAGAAATTAGCTACATATTTTGTTAAATCTATTTATAACAATAATTGATCATATTATTATTAACTTAAATTATCTAATTCTATTTTATTTAATTAATTATTTTAACAACATTCTTAATTCATTAAAAAAATTAAACAATATATTACTATAATCAAATGCAATATTATTATTAAGTGATAATTTAAATTAAATATTCCTTGAAATTTACCGCTTCCATAGTACTCATAACACTCAGTAAAAATTCATCATCTGCTGTAACAGTATGATACTCATAAACCATCGGAATAAAAAATGGTGGTTGAGTACGTTGTAACATATAAGTACGACCGCCATTTGGTATATATCCATATTTTTCAATTAAATATTTAAAATTTTGTAATATATGTTTTGCTGTATCATGCATACCTTACAAAAAAAAAAGTAAATATTGCAAAACTATAATATTTACTGTTTAATAATTACAGAAATCATAGCCTGAAATAATATTTTTTTAATTAAATACAAAATGATGTAAAAATATTATTCTTTATTATAATTAACTTATATATATATACAATGAGACAGTATAAGAAAAGATTAAATTTCTTGAATGACATATTGTTGGAATATATTATTCAAATCCTTTTATCTTTTTTAATTCGTAACAAAAAAATTAATTTTAATAATAAAAATTGATTATAGAGTAAGATGGGAAAAATAAGAAAAATGTAAGAAGTTAAATTCACCAAATTTAATTAATGATCCAAAAAATTTCCGCTTTTTTGATTCAATAAGTATCCCAGACTGATCTTCAATTCACCAAAAAATATTTAATCAAAATTTAATGAATCATACCTGAAGCAAGCAAACCTTTTATGATCCAATAAGTATCCCAGTAATGAAATTCACGATAACGACCACTTGCTATCATAAATTCATGTGGTAAATATAATATCGAATAGCGTTTTGGATTATTCTTTACCTAAATTATTTAATTTTAAAATGAATGCTTATTAGATAAAACTTCTGATAAGAAACAATGATGCGAAATAGAAGTTAATTAATTAATTAATCAACCTATATTCATCGCTTCTCTTCTCTTTCAAGCAATAACTTCTTAAATAGTTATTTTACTATTTAATTTAAAATAATCCAGAACATTTATCACAGCGCATTAAACAATGGACCTTGTCAAAACTTTAAAACTTTTTTTATCAAACATTACCATTCGCCATTTAATATGTTACTGAAAGTTAAAATTTCAGCTTGAAGTGTTATATAATTCATTAAAGATAACTTCAGGCTTAACGATATAACATAATTTTTTCCATAGTGCATGAATTTCCAAAGCAAATTGACAATTCTCTATCTTCGATTGCTATCAAATATTCCGGTTCACCATTCCAATCTTTCATCGTATCTTCTGGACATCTGTAATTTCAATTACAACGAAGAAGTCTTTGAGTGAAAAGAAAAAACTGAAAAAGAATTTAAAAAAAAAAAAACTGAAAGCTAAAAAATGAAGTAAAAGATTGACTAGAATATGAAATCTTTAAAAATGATTATGCATCGTTAGGAAGAAAAATTTCCCAGATATATACATATCTATATAAAGCAATTAACATTGATAAATACTAAAATTTGTTAATTTAATTTTAAATCTAATCAATACAATCATCATTTTTTTTTTACTGTTACTAAAGCTTTGAGGAGAAATTAACATCAAAAAAAAAGAAAAAAAGAAAGAAAGAAAAACAGACTCCTGAATATCACTTCCTTCGGTATCAAAATATTCATCCACAAATGATATCAGTGCTTCTCGATCATTGATGGTAATTTGATTAGAAAATTTTTGATTAAATGTACTAATTATTTCATCTGGTTCTTTTTTAATTGGTTTATCCACAAATGTTTTTGAATCGTTGAAAATATTACTTAATAATACAGTATGTAACAATTCACCCTGACAATAAATCATATAATTTGGTGCATTTTTTTCATCACACGGGTTAATTGGTGAAGCAATAACAGTGCTTGTAATAATATCACGGCTGGGTAGAAAATTTCGACGTCTCAAATCGGTGCTTTCAATATTAGCAATCGTTGATGCCATTTCTTTAGCTTTTCTCTTGCTTTTTACTCCTTTTACCATTATTTTGCTAATAATTTGCTTATCAAAATTATTCATTAATATAAATGGACTCAATGATTGAAATTCATTGAAATTATAATCGATCATAAATGCAACTATAATCAATAACCATGATATCTCGCGCATCTTCAGCTAAATCTATAATTATTAGAATTTTAATTATTTGTTATATTAGCATTAAAAAAAAATTCTAATTTATAAGCAATATTAAATCATTTAATGGAGTAAACTAATACTATTAAATCAATATTATTAATATAGCTTTTTATTTGTTATTTTCTTAATTTATTTCTTAATCCATGCATTTTTTTTCAATTTCATTAAATGCTAGTATGTTTTTTTTTTTTTTTTTTTAATTGAAAAATTATGACTTATTTGTTAAGTGTAAATATAAAAGTAAATATATTTGTAGTTATCTAATTTATTCAAATAACTATTTATGCTTTATTAGTGAAAAATATGAGAGAGAAAAACTTTTTAACACATGCAAAAAGAGAAAAATGTATCTAGTAAACAAATATCTAATTTTCTTTTCTTTCTCAAATCAAATAGTTTAAATTTTTCAAAGAATAATTTAGGGCAAAAGAGAATAGTAAAAGCAACTGGACACAATAAATGTTAAATTAAAGACTGATTTAGATCTTTAATATGCATCCATTTAAATTTTTATATTAATATGCAAATTTCATCACATTCTTTGCTTGTTTCTTCGTTCTAAAAATCGGAAAGTAGAAGGTGTTTTTCTTCGTATTAATTTTTTTAATCGTTTTAATTAAATTCAATCAAAAAGATGATATTAAAAAAACATTGTAGATGATTAATATCGATATCATCGTAATATATTGATTATGCGAAATATTAACACACCATTTTCCGATCAATTTTCTTTTTTTTTTTTTTTTGTACATTCTAAGAATCAAAATAAATTTTGGTATTTTTATTCATTAGTTCACAGTTCATTTTGTAGAAATAATTTGAAAAAATGATAGATGTGAAAATTTTCGATATCACTGATTGAAATATTATTATGAATTTATAAGTAAATTTGCAAATTATCCTGTCTTTTAAAACTAATTTCTTTTTCAGGAAACCGAATGGTGCATCTATTTTGCTTATCCCAATTAAATTAATTTTTTTTTTCCCATAATAAGGATTCCATAATAAAATTAATTTCTTTTATTTTTTTTTAGAACCATATACTCTTAGTTAGAATATAATTAATTATTGTTAATACATATAATGTAGACATATATAATTCATTATTGTCAAGAATCCTCAAAAATGCAAATTTTGCAAATGTTTTTTTCTTGAAATTATATATAATGAAGTATTGATAATGAAAAAATCATTTATTGCACAATTTTTTAAATTGTTATACGGTTGAATTAAGTAATAGGTTTGTTCATTTCAATATAATATTCAATGAAATCTTACAGCAATCACTTCTGATAATGTGTGATTAGATGAATCGATAATTACGATCACGAATTCTGCAAAAGTTACTCAATTTAAATTGCAACCAGAAGCAAAAAAGTAGTGAAAAAAAAGTAAATTTCATTTAGAAAGCTTATGAACAAAAAAAAAAAAAAAACTATAATTCTTTTGTTTTTTAACGACAATAAAGTTAATTTACTGCTACAATTTGCTTAAATACAAAACGAAATAGAGAAAGGGAGGAAAGAGTGTTTAAATTCATTTACATTAAAATTTATTTTTTATTCAAAATATAAAATCTAAAATTTCTTTTCTGATATGACTAAATTGCTACAGTAATAGATGAATTAATCACATTTGTTGCTTTACAACTTATTTTAGCGTAGCGTTATCAAATTTATTTAACTTCAGCATCGTTCATGTTTATTGCATGAAAAAAGAGAAAACGAAGTAATTAGAATTTTTTTTAAAAGTATGAAACTTTAGTTTATAATTGAAACTAAAGCATGATGATATAAAAAAAATATTTCTCGAAGTAGCAAAGCTTTATTATTTAACCTTTTACTTTTATGCTAGCATATTTTCAGAAACTATGCAAAATTTGCCACATAAAAATCGTTAATTTGATCATTCAATAAAACAAATTATTTGCTGATAGTTATTTGCTTTATTATTAAAGTGTTTAGTTGTAAAAATTGATATTATAATTAAGGAGGAAAGTGATTTATTTCAGGATGGAAAAGCAAAAGCTTATTCAAAATATCCTTCTAGTATTATTATCACTCATAATTATAACAACAATAACATATAAATATCACCGAACATTTATGATAAAATTAACAGCAATTAAAGAAGAATATCATTTAAAAGATGGATGGTTCAAAAATATTATTGAATATGGAAAAGACGAAATATCATTGATGAAAGAAAAACTGAATTTAATAGATGAAAATAAGTTACAAATGATACCAATAATGAAGCGACATATTGCTGCTGTTGATTTCATACAAACAGCTTTATTAGCATTTAAAGCATTATGCAAACGTGAAATTCATGGGACATGTAATATGGATATGGATACGACAAATATCACTACTACAAGTGTTATCAGAGATATTAGTGATAAAAAAATAGGCGATATTATTCATGAAAAAACCATCATTGGTGAAAATGTTAAAGGCGGTAATAGTAGTAGTGATAGTAGTAGTGATAATGGAAGAAAGATAACGATTGATCCAAATAGTGATAAATATATTGGTATACCAAGTGATGAAGATGTTATAAGCAATATAATTGAAATACCGGAATGGGCATGTAACGAGAAGCATTCCACAAATTATATCATTTATTGTCAAGGCGAATTACTTCATGCTGTAATGATGCTTAACATTTTCAAAGATTCAAAAACATTTGTTGATAAACCATTAAAACGTGATCCAACTGAAATTGCATCAGATTTTAAGAAAAAATTTCCACGTGATATTACAGTAAATGATCGTGAAGCTATACGACAATTTATTGATGAAAATTTTGACGAAGAGGGGCACGAATTAGAAAAGTATTATTTTATTTTTGTTTTTGTTAAATTTCAACAAGTTTTTTTATAAATTAATTAAATTTTATTATAATTTCTTGCAGTTTATTTGGTTTCTTTTTTTAATTATCCTTAATTATTTAGTCGAAATTATTGCTATTTCATCGTTCTTTTTTAAAATTTTTTCAATGTTATATTTTCCTTAGCTATCATATGATATTTATAAGAAATAATCTCAATTTTATTGAAATTTTTGCTCAGATTCTTAGCTCATTAATGGATGACTTTTATGTTTTTTGCATTTCGTATCTTAATCATAACCATTTATGGATGTTTAATAATTGGTAACTCAATTGTATAAAATATGTTCATTCTGTTGCGCATTCAGAAAAGTTTTTTAAAAAGATATTTAAAATTAAATATATGTGATGGAACAACTAACTTCTGAATTTCCTAAAATTGAAAATACTAATTAAGTAATATATTTTTGACATATCAGATGTGAATTAGTGGATTGGGAAGAGCAACCAGAGAAACTCTTATCAATAACTGATCCACAATTACGCCAATTTGCATTAAATGTTAATTTAATTTGGAAAAGTTTATGTCGAACAATTAAAAAAGAAGTATGGGTAACATTGAAGAAAAAGTCTGATAAACTTTAATATTAATTTTAATGAAAAATTCAATTTCCAAGTTCTGATTTTTGTTTTTTTGTTTAAATTTTTGCCAAAACTTATCTATGTCATATTCGTATGAAGATTCATTAATACGTTAAAATATTGAAGATACATTTTGAAATGATAACAAAACAACTGATGAAAATAAAAATAAGCCAAAATAAATTCTAATCTTTGTTACCTGAAAATCTCTAATTTTAGGTTATGAAATACCCAGAACGACATTCATTATTATATGTACCATATGAGTTCATTGTTCCTGGTGGTCGTTTTCGGGAATTCTATTACTGGGATACTTATTGGGTAATTAAAGGTCTTCTTGCTTCAGGTAAATAATGATTAGAGCATAAAGTATAATTATTAAAATTAGATAAGACTGATTAAATTATTTGCCTTAGCATCACAAATATTTAGGTATGCAAGAGACATCACGTCGAATAATTCTTAATTTTGAATATTTGGTAAAAACAATTGGCTTTATACCAAATGGTGGTCGAGTGTACTATTTGCGCCGTTCACAACCACCACTTTTTATACCAATGGTTTATGAGTATTATATGGCAACTGAAGATGATGATTTTTTACGTTCCATAATGAATACTATGGAAATGGTTTTTTTTTTTTTTTTAATTTTAACAAAACTTTCTTTTAATATCTATTAATGCCTTATTTTAAAACCATAAATTAAATATGTGATTATAACAAGTTTGAATGAACAAGTAATAAATAATTCAGACTATTTTAATAGCAATAATAGTTAATTTATGAAATTAAAGTGATTGGAAGAGTTATTTAATATTCTAAAAGTTTTTGAAAATTAAAATATCTTCCATTCTATTTCATACATATATCGGATGATGAAATGAATTTTAATAAAATTTGAACTGTTTTAAAAAAAATTCAATTTTAGGAATTCAATTTTTGGAAAACAAGTCGAATGATTAATGTAACGATTAATGAAAGAAATCATTCAGCGTTTTATTATCGTGCAGATAGTAATGTACCACGGTAAAACCTCTAAAAAATTCTAATCTAATAATCATTTACTTAATTAGTCAAGTAAATCATTTCTTAAACAAATATAAAAAAAAATACAACATATTACTGATATCAAGAATATAGTATTTTTTTAGACCAGAATCATATCGCGAAGATTATCAAACAGCAGAACGAGTTGATCGACAAAGAAGGCGTAAATTATGGCGTGATATAGCAAGTGCTGCTGAATCGGGTTGGGATTTCAGTAGCCGATGGTTTCAAAACAGGAAAAGTATGGATACCATTGTTACATCTGATATTATTCCAGTTGACTTAAACGCTTTCATGTATTGGAATATGAAAATTCTAGCACATCTTCAAGGAGAAATTGGTAATATATTTTATTACTTTTCTGAGTAATAAACAGTAATTTACAATTAAAGCTTAAAATATTGTTACGTTAAGTTCCAATGCATACGAAGATGTTTATGTTTTCAAAATCTATTGTTTGCAGACTTTAAAAAATAAAAATGAAAATTTGGAACTTATTCTTGTAAAAAAATGTTTGATAAATATTAAAAAAAAAAAAAAAATATATAAAATACCTCATTTCTTTGATCACATAAGCCTACTTCATCATAAATCGAAAAAATTTTGAAGACAAAAAACTTGTAAAATTCTTAAAGAAAAATTGAAAAAAATTTTTAAACCAAATAATTTTATTAAAATCATAACACGAATATTTAAACGTACATTAAGTCTTGTCCGCTTTTTCCTTTCTTTTTTGTCAAACATTTATATAATTATTTAAGTATACCAAAATAATGCACAAAAATAGTTTTGTTCCGGAATTATAAAAAAAAAAAAAGAACAGAGCAATGTTTACTCGTATACTGTATCAAAAAGAAATAATTTTGCCGGAATTATTTTGAAATTTAAGATAATTGCAAAATAATCCTTTATTATCATTATTATTATTATTATTATTATTATTATTATTATTATTATTATTATTATTATTATTATTATTATTATATTATTATTATTATTATTATTATATTATTATTATTATTATTATTATTATTATTATTATTATTATTATTATTATTATTATTATTATTATTATTATTATTATTATTATTATTATTATTATTATTATTATTATTATTATTATTATTATTATTATTATTATTATTATTATTATTATTATTATTATTATTATTATTATTATTATTATTATTATTATTATTATTATTATTATTATTATTATTATTATTATTATTATTATTATTATTATTATTATTATTATTATTATTATTATTATTATTATTATTATTATTATTATTATTATTATTATTATTATTATTATTATTATTATTATTATTATTATTATTATTATTATTATTATTATTATTATTATTATTATTATTATTATTATTATTATTATTATTATTATTATTATTATTATTATTATTATTATTATTATTATTATTATTATTATTATTATTATTATTATTATTATTATTATTATTATTATTATTATTATTATTATTATTATTATTATTATTATTATTATTATTATTATTATTATTATTATTATTATTATTATTATTATTATTATTATTATTATTATTATTATTATTATTATTATTATTATTATTATTATTATTATTATTATTATTATTATTATTATTATTATTATTATTATTATTATTATTATTATTATTATTATTATTATTATTATTATTATTATTATTATTATTATTATTATTATTATTATTATTATTATTATTATTATTATTATTATTATTATTATTATTATTATTATTATTATTATTATTATTATTATTATTATTATTATTATTATTATTATTATTATTATTATTATTATTATTATTATTATTATTATTATTATTATTATTATTATTATTATTATTATTATTATATTATTATTATTATTATTATTATTATTATTATTATTATTATTATTATTATTATTATTATTATTATTATTATTATTATTATTATTATTATTATTATTATTATTATTATTATTANTATTATTATTATTATTATTATTATTATTATTATTATTATTATTATTATTATTATTATTATTATTATTATTATTATTATTATTATTATTATTATTATTATTATTATTATTATTATTATTATTATTATTATTATTATTATTATTATTATTATTATTATTATTATATTAAATTTGATCGAGAACGATCAAATTTTATGGATACATTTGAAGCAGTCTTTTTTGATACACGTGAAGGTGCATGGTTTGACTTAAACCTAAAAACCGGTGAGCATTACGATGACGCATATCCATCGTTAGCTGTACCACTTTTTACCGAACGCTACCATATGCTAAACAGTGTTATGGTGGCTGATGTCTTAGAAACATTACAACGAAAAGGATTATTACAATTTCCAGGTGGCATACCAGCAAGGTTACAATAATTATAATTAAAAATAAAGAACAAGAAAAAAAGAATTAACGCTACTGTTTCATTTATTAAATGTTAAATTCATACTTAATTTTGAAATTTTTTTCAATTGAGTTTAAAATAAAGATCATATTCAAATTAATTAGTTAATGATTGGAAGTAGGATGTAATAATTAAGGAGAATTTTAGATTTTAGCAATAAAAAAAATTTTTTTTCTCTTTTTTCGCTCTTTTTTTCTCATTTCTATCTCTTTTATTAGATTAGATTAAATTTCTGTTACCAACTCCTTTTCAAGCAGATTTTTTTCTAGTATCAGACATAATTCTTCATTCGTCTTGTTGTTATTTATAATTTTAATCCACTATAGCTTAATGAAAGGTACCAATCAACAATGGGATTATCCAAATGGTTGGGCACCAATAAATCATATGATCATTGAAGGATTACGTAAATTAAATAATCTAACGTTTGTCACTTTCTTTTCATGGTACAAAAAAAAAATTTCATAAAAGAAAAAGGAAAAAGAAGAGTTAATCATTAACAATTATCAATATCATACGACAGTATAAATTTGTATAAATTTATGTCTTAACTATAAAATAACAATATTATAATTGAAACATGACCCATATATAAAAGTTTAAAAATTTTTATCATGAGATAAATCCTTTCCACGACAGCAATATAATATTTAAAATAGTTCAAATGAATTAGATGTTGTCAACGATATTATAAAAAAAATAAATAAGATTAGGTGTTTTCGAGCTATTAACATGAGGAATTATTATGTATAGTAATGAAGATAAAATTTTCTTTCTTTTTTTTTTAACTGGCTTTTTGATACAATCAAAATTAAAGTTAAAATATGATAGTTACTGAATGATATTATAGAATGCAACAACGCGCATTTGAAATTGCCAATAAATGGATTAATAGAAATTATGCTCTATATCAAAAAGATCATAAAATGTGGGAAAAATACGATGTCGCAAAAGAATATGTACGAGCTGCTAAAGATGGCGAATATGAAAATAAGGTATGATGATATTGTTATTAGTATTTCAACTTTGTTATTCTGCTATTAGTATTTCAGTATGGCTTTGGATGGACTAATGGTGTCGTACTTGATCTACTTGTAACATTCAATAAGAGAGCAATAGTTAAGCCAACAGGTGGTGTAACAGATGTTCATGGAACTGGACGAGCTAATATATCTGGTACTAACCGAACTCTTCTTACTCGCTATCTAGGAACAGGCAAACCGTTCGATTTTTTATGTGGTTTACAAAACGAATCCTTATCCGAACACTGATCAACTTCTTGAAATGCAAAAGTTCCGGTAGCAGCGGGTAGTTAAGAGTTTATGAACAAATTTTTTTTTTCTTAAAATATTCACAAATATTACATGTGTTACAAATTGAATCATCTGATTGCAAAATGTCAAATTAGAAGCAAAATAAATGGGTGAAAATCTTTTAAATTAATTTTAGCAACAAGTTATTAATTTATAAGCAGGAAGCAAGTATTAAACTTATTTGAAATTCCAAAAATCTAATTCAAAGCTGTATGATAAAAAGGAGAATGGAAGTTAGGGAAAAGTTAGGATGATGCAATTAATTAATAATCAATAAGATATCAGAGATTGAAGATATGTAGCAGATTTTATCAAAATTATATATTGCAGGAAAACCACATGGACAGTTTAAGTAATCCTTGAAAAGTATAAATATTACAAAAGTTATCCAAATGTATGATAGAAAGGTCACTAAAACTATTACATTAGAGTGCCAAAAGTACTGAACAAAATACATAACTTTATAAATCATACAAAAGTGTAGCAAATAAAAGCAACTATATATACAGTGTTTCCAGTTTTTAAGGCTTACTAGTAGATGTCCAAAATTCGTTTCGGCTTCATTCAATTCTGTTACACTTTTACTTCTTGGTTAAGTGAAAACAAACTTATAACTGCTCAAAAAATAATTTTAGATTTTCATTATTTTCACACAAATGAAACGAATGAAAATTAAATTAATATATGTTATGCAAGATATACAGATTATTACATTTGTAAATCTATTGAAAGACATAAAATTAGGCATAGCAAGAAGTGAGATTTCAAAATCTGTACAATAGCATTCAAACCAAATTTTATTTTATAGCTGAAAATGAATTTCTTCAAATTTGAACTTCTAACTTCAGATTATTTCAAATCAAATTCGAGAATTACATGTTTAAAACAATATATGTAATTTGTACACACCTTTTTTTTTCATACCATTCGAAATAGAAAAAAATGATAGCAGAAACATAAAGAAAAAAAGAAAAAAGTATAGAGAAAAAAAGTTATATAATAAAGCATAATAAAAGATACATTTTTTTTACAAAAATATTACAATAATCTAATAAAGATGTTAGGATTATTATAGAAGTAATCAGTATTTAATCAACCTGGCCTTAGTAGAACCAATGTAACGAGACCTAAAATATAGGCGAAAACTAATTTAAGATGAACGGAAATATGTAACCAATCCGGTATCATTGTTGATACATCCAGTCCTTCAGTTGGAAGCATCAATGCAACTGCGCATACGATAACCGCACCAACACATATCATTACCAAAGGTGAAGTTACATCGAAATGTGCTCGCAAAATTGGTGAAGACTGCAAAAAGAAAGAAAAATAGAATTAGAAAAAAAGTAAAGTAAAAAGAGTAAGGGAATGCAAAAAATGAAATAACAACGGAAAAAAAAATCACGTGGCCAGTTTTCTTTCGTTTTTTTCTTTTCTAACATATCATATCTAATCTTATTAAAATAACCAATTATTCTGCAAATCCAATCTAAATACTACTTACCACTTGGAAAAAATTATTTGAAAAAAAAAGTGTAAACTATTTCACTTAATTTAATCATGAAGTGGTTTCTTGATAAGGATAAAATTTTCAAAGTCATCTATATCAAAAGAAGAAAAATAGGATAAAATTCAAATGTTTTTCTTTAATTTAATTTCCAATGTTTTCAGTGCAATCTTAAGTGAAATCAACATTTTCTCTAAGTTACATTATGTACAAATGGATACCATATAAACATTGTTATGCTTCAATTCAAGAAAAAAAAAGATTCTCTAAGAACAATATTGAAATAATGAATACCTGAGCTGAATTTGTGCTACCACGAACAGACGGATGATTGGTACTGCTTGTTGGTAACAATTGATAACATCGTGACTGACTAAATTTTGGCGTAGTTTCCACAATGTGAACAGGAACATCAATCGATCCAGAAATCTTTAAATAAACTTAAAGAATAAATTTTGAATCAATTTGACATCACATAATAAAAACAAGAAATGATGTTAAGCCAGCATATACTGAAAACAAGAAGTGATATTAATAAGGCCTATTAATTCATCCGAAAATTCATCTGATTACCTTCATCGTAAATATTAAATGAGATTCATAAATATTAAATTACGCCATAAAATATTGTAGGATATAAAATTTTTTTTTAATAATTAAAGGAAATAACATTTCATGAATAATTCTAACATAAAACCAGAATTAGCATACTAAGATGTGCTGGAGTGTATGCTGATAGAAATGGAAGTAAAATTAAAATAAATGCAATGCATTAATGGCGTAAACAATTGATTGTATCACAAATCAAATTACCTTTTGATTATGCAACGAACAAATTTCGATACGAAATGTTTCTAGACCAGGACTTGTTTGAAATTGTAAAGCAACATGCCGAATAATACTTCAAAAAGGAAAAATATAGTTCATTGTAAGAATCTGATACTTTTCATAAATCTAATTCTGTCCATAGTATCTGTTATATAATTTGTTATATAATTACAGCTATATAATTTAAGATTTCTGAAAACTAATTTATCAAACTGATAAAATTAGATATTACCAAAAAAATTATGAAATGAAAAAACAAAAGAAGGAGGATTTTGGAAGTATACAAGAAATTTTAAATATAATACTTACATATCAGTAGAACATGATGCTCTCAATATGCCACATGGTTCGATCACCGAAAAATTGTGTGAATTTGTACATTTCACTGAAATAAATAATACAATTCATTTTTTTTTTTTTTTTGCTTAATATAATGACAAATTATATTTAGCATATATTCAGAAGTTTGATTTCTTTTGTAAATGGAATTACAATATTGATTCTATTCATTCACAATGGTTACAACATGAAAACATTAAATAAAAATTTCACTCAACAATCTTTAGTATTTTGAATTATTAGAATTTTTTCTCAATTACTTTAAAGCAAATCATTCGATAATTTACTTCACTCATGGATATAATCGTCATTCTTTTAATATAGCCTAAATTGATAAACAGTAAGAATGGTAAAGGAAATGATGGAACTTTCAATTAAAAATTCTATGAAACTATGCTTTTGCAGAAGTTCAGCACACATACTTTTTTAAAAAAGCTTAAACAATTTTTTTCTTCAAATCATTTAAGAAAACAAAAGAAAGAAATAAAATAATAACCTTTAAATTTGATCGCAAAATGATATGGATTATAGAGTGTTATTATTTGTTTATGTGTTTGTGGTTCGGATGCAATAATTTCCAACTGATTGGGAAAAACAAACGCAAAAATGCTACCCTTCTCATCAGCCATTTTTTTTTCCTTTTTTATTCTTTTTTTATAAACTGAATAATAAATGGCTAACAAAGAGCTTATTAATCCACGATGAAACCCGTTATTGTTAAAATCATCTCTTCAAATAGTTGAATCACCGAGTAAAATTTTCCTTCTGAAAATTACTATTATATTTGTAAATTAACAAATACATAAATGGCTTATGAGAGAGAGAGAGAGAAAGCGAAGGAGAAAGTAAAATGGATGATGATGTCAATGGGAGTAATTTCAATAAGTAATCAATAACATTACGTAAATACGGCAAATAAAATGCGTCAAATTAAGATATTACATTTGGATATATTAAGCAAAGTTACTTGGATTCATTATGAATAAAGGTTATGTATATGTGAAATAATTCTTCATTTGTCCATTGCACTGAATCACTGTCATTCATCATCGGGGTCATTTCGATCATAACTAAGGATATACTCTGCAAGTAATATCTCCGTTTACCTTACACTTTTCTCTTTCTTTTGTTTTTTGTTTTTCTTGTGACCATTGTTGTATAGTGAAATAAAGAAATAGTAGGAAATGTTAAAGTACACAACCTTACCTCTCTTAATTAATCCTTTCCTCTCTTCTCTTCTTTCTCTGATTTATTAAAACCCATCATCCAAACTGATCGATTTTAATGCTTTTCTTTTACCTCCTTTCTTTTCCACACTCTTTTTCCTTCCCTTCCTTATTCACTCTCTACCTTCCCCTCGTAATATCGTAAAATCTCTCTAAACAACTACAGTAAAATCAATACCCGAAATTTACCATTAATTATGGAAACTACCGATACATATATATAACACATACACAGATACTGAACTGTCGTTACTGATTGCTATTATCCATTTTCCGAAAGAATTGTGGAACAAACTTCCTATTATTAATTATGATTCGAATTGCTTAATTTAATCATACACTAACAAAATAATCCAATAACAAAATAAAAATTAAATACTGCAAATGTTACACGAAACCTACTCAGATTCCTTTCATCAAAATTACTATAATAAACTAACTTGTAGTTTCAGAGGAGTACGACAATCGGATCAAAAAGATTAAAATATTTCTATATGTTTGGACAGATATGTTTAGGAAATATAGTTATAACGTGTTTAGAAAGAAAAAAATAATAGTAATAACTGTATACTTCCCTTACCCGTCGGAGTTTTTTTTTGATAAATTAGCTTATTTATTCTATGTTTCATTCAATTTCATCAAAACTTTTAAATGAAGTCAAATCAAATTTATTTACAAGGAACTATCTCGAGAAATACGTATAATGTAAACAATAAAGGCGTCATTAGCAATCATTGCTCGTACGTAAAAAATTTATTTTATTCATAAACGAAATGAATAATTCAAGAAAACAAAAACAAAAAACAAGCAAAACTGAAGATCAATGACTGAACAATTATTTGCCTCCTCCGCAATAAAAAAAAAGTGAAAAAAAATATTAATACATTCATATGATCAAATAATAAACTGATACTTAACAAATGACTAACCAATATTTAAACAACCAACTGATAATTCATCAATAATTTCAAGTAAAACTTCAAAATCCTTCATACTTCAAAAAAAAAAAAAAAAAATAATAATAACAATAATAATAATAATAATAATAATAAACAACC